AGCTGGGACCGGGGCTATCCGAATCCGACGCCGCTTCGTAGTCGTCATCGTCGCTCACCAGACTCGGAGCCTGGTTCGACTCGACGGTGTTCGGACTGAGATTGGCCGAACGATCGACCCCATCGACTTCACGAAGACGAAGATCATCGATCGGAGCCATCGATGATGGTGGGCCGTACGGAGATTGATAAGGTGCGGCCCGCGTTGGCGTCAGGGTTTCCAAGGTGAGGGGCTTATGACTCGTCTTGTCCACGCCCTTTCGGCTACTTGGGCGCCGCGACCCGGCTTGCGGAGCGGTGGTCCGCATTGGTTGCCGGCCAATGCGAGCGTCAGTCGGTTTTTCACCGTGACTCGCATTGACCGACGGCTGGGCCGGCTCCACGTCCGACTCGCCTTCGTCGGATGAGAAGGCGCTCAGATCAACAGGGGTTTTCGCTTCCCCAACCAGTCGGTCCAGATCGAGTCCGACACCCTTGAGCTGCATTAGTGATGACAGATGAGGGGTAGCCGGCGAGCCCTGGAAGTCATCCGATGGCTTCGCCGGTGTATTGCGCCGACTGGGTAGAGAATGGGCAGACGGACGAGGTGTTTCCACCACGGAGGACGCCTGCTGGCTGGAGACCGATCGTTTCCGGGGCGTCGCGTTGTCACCAGAGGCCTCCGACGCGGATGGGGTCTTGGAAGACGATTCAATAACGTGAGCAGATCGAATGAGCGGATGAACGTAACCTGCCGTGGCCGTGCTGGAGGTGTCGTTCTTACCCCCAATGATCGCACCCGCTTCGTCCACCTCGACGGGCTCTCCCGATGCGACCGCGGCGGCATCGTGACTAGCAAAGTTCCTATTATGGGCAATGCGGCAGTGATTGATGAATCCTTGCGTGCTGGAGAAATTGTCCCTTCGACAGTCCAAGCACACAAGTTTGACCAGGACACCATCTGACTTTCGCCGGATGATCATGGGGCCCGCTTTCTCCTTCGGCGGTGGATAGCCATTCGGCAAGGATTGCAGCTTCATGTTATTTGAGCCTCTCTGGAGGCGAGATTTGCTTGACCAGTAGCCATCGCCAGAGGTTCCACGTGTTGAACGGCCTTCCATCAGCGGCGTACCTGGCACACCAAATCCTAGAGGGGTTGCTGGCTCGAGCTCCCCTCCGTCGAAACGTGGGTCTGGTAGTAACCATCGGGCATAATGACGGGTGTATGGGCCATCCGTTACACCCCACGGTGCCGGGGAGAGCGGCGGAGGTCCATTTCCAGGAGCTAACACTGCCATCCCCGTACCGTTGCTGACCGATTGTCCCATGGCATGCGATCCAGGATACGGGATCTCGGCGCACCGTCGCAACTGTTCCAACGCGACTTGGCATTTGGCGATCTCTTGGTCGATCAAGCGGAGTTCATTGTGCTTCAATAACACCTCTAAGCTTAACTGTGCCTCTAACGTTTCGCGCAACCTGTCCACATTCACTTTGCGCGGAGGGGCGTCCTGTTTGGCGACCGGGAAACCTGAGGGGTCGGGGTTCTGACGAGATGCGTTGTCGGATGGGTTCGACGGTTGGGATGCGCGATCGCTGAGGGTTGTTGGTTCCTGCGACGTCACAGTCGCACTACTTAGAGATAGAGACGGATCTTGACCAGTCGCGACCGGATTGCTGGGCGTATCGTCTGCGCGCAACTTGGTTGCGACCGGGGCACCTTGACCGGTGGCTGAATCGCTCGAATCGGAGCGCTTGCGCTTCAGTTGGGGCAGCGCCAGGCTGTTCACACCTGGCGCGGCGCAGTGTGGCGAGGTCGCGAGCATCTTGAGCTCCTCAGCCATCACCTTATTCCCCCCAATTGCAGAGGACCAGGGTAGCAGCCGAAACATGCCATGCGAGAGATGTGCGACAGGGAGAGAAGTAGGGTGTTCAGACGCCAATGCGACTTGGGAGAAATGCGACACGCCCGAAAGCGAAAGAAGAAAAGGGGGAAAAAAGGGTCGCAAATACAGTTAGTCGCTTTGAGTGATTAGATCATGCACCAGTGCATGCGAACGCGATCTAAATCTGGGGGAAAAAGATGGAGAGGTGGAGAGTGAGGCGTAGAGACCGCGAAGGAGTGGACGTTGCTGCCGATCGGTGATCAGGCGTTGTTTGCGACCGGCAGAAGCTCAGCAAGGGGGGGGGAAGGGAAAGGGAGGAAAGAGTCACCCCAACCAGAAACACCGGACGTTAGAACGGACTCACCACCTTCAGCGGGAGAGGACAGGATGATAAGGAAGTTGGGAGGAGTAGTTCGGACGGGAAAGTTGTTTTAGATTGAATTTCCGAACCAGACAGAGTTTCCCAGAGGAATGAATAATGACAGATAAGCGCACCAGAACACAGAAGCTATAGGGATACGGAGTAAAGTATGAGAGAGGATACAGTACGTTTGCCGTACGTCCCAACAAGTAAGTTAGTTAGTCACTCACATGCAGTTCCCGGGACAGGAAGGGAACGCAAAAGAGGATCCACGGGGCTATTGATTGGCACCTCCAGAGAGGCAAAATAGGCGGAAAGGTGGTGGCGTAATCTATTAATAATGGATGCTAAGGAACAAAACTCGTAACGAAACAAACAGGAACAGGCAGCAGACAAGAAGAGGGGATGAATGAGGAAAGAGAAAAAAAAAGAGAAAAATAAAATAAAGATAAGTAAACGACTTTTTGGGTTCAATCAGCTCCGAAAAGATGATACAGAATAGGAAGGAAATGTGAGCTAATCCGCAGCTCTGCGAATCAATTAAAGATCAGTTGGGGAACGAGAAAAAAAAAAAAAAAAAGAAAACTAAAGTATATACGGAGTAGAACGAGGGAGGAAAAAGAAACGCGTTGATAAGAAAGATCGCAAGTCAGTTTGTCGTCCGACCAGGGACCCAAATCTTTTCACGGAGATGGAGAGTGATGAAACCCGTCGGGTATGGAGAGAAGGAGAAAGAAGAGGACAGAATCCGGGAGGAAACGGTGGAAGGGTAAGGGTTGGAGAAGTTGTTGGTTTGGGTTCTAAGAAAGGGAAACTGAGAAGAATATCTTTTAAAAAGTTGGATGGGGGGGGCAAAAGAGGATCAGTGACCGTGAGGGGATCTTCCAGGGTGGTTTTTGTTTCTCGTTGGTAACCCGTATGTATGTTTGTACATAGTAGTACTACTGCTCACTACTCACTACTACAAGAGGTGGAATGGTCTATGACGACGGGGGTGAACAGCTATCACCACATTCAATCATTATCTAGTCTGCTTCAAGGAACAACCAATGTCGATTTGCCGGAAGAGAATTTCCTACCGAGTCAGTCCGTAGTAAAAGTACCGGTGAAACCTTTTCCTATTATTATTATAATAAAAAAAAAATTATTATTATTATTATTTTTTTTTTTTTTTGATATATTTATCAGGCCTTCGCGAGCTCTCATTGATCCTCAGGAATTGACTTCCCTGTTCCAGCGTCTGGTTGAATCAGAATGACACGTCAAATCAGATCTTCGCACTATTGACCCTTCACATTGGCTGGTGGGTCAATGATGTGATACCGGGCCTGGACTGGTCCATGGCTCGTCTTCGTTGTATTTATCGTCACGCCCGGTATGGTACTTCTGTAGGTATCAAGGGATCTGAGCTCTGCTTTCTTGTGGTCTTCTTTCCACACCTGCGAACCATTCGTTTTCTTACTTCTTCTTCCTGCACTGCCACAAGGAGTCAACTGCATGTACAGTGCAACCTACTCGACGTGAATTATTGAATATATCTACTGGTAGGAGTAGTTTAGCGCGCTGTACCACCGTTAGCGATGTTGACTATTCGCCTATCATTGGGCACTGCAGAGTTAATGCCCTAAACGAGCTATATAGGTCTTTCTGGAGGAGGAATGGTGGGAGTTATAGTTAGCTAACTATTGAATATCGCCTTTAGTCACAGTGGTGACAATTGAATTATAAGCTAGCGGCGCCATGGATCGGAAAAGTGTGTGTGGTTAAGGTTCGTCGGACACACATGGCGGATTCTCTTCCAAGTGTTTTGACTTCTTTCATCCTGCTGGGCCCGTGGTTCGTTCGCTGCCTGATCAGGTAACGACGGTCATCGACGGAGTGCCTGAGGTACAAATGATTACATCATGACAACTAGTTCATTCCTCGCTTTTTCCATTTTGGGTGCTTTGTTTTCCTGGACCTGAAGATAATCACCGCGGGGCCTTACCACCTCCATAACTCTGGATCAGTAGTCACTTAAAGACTCTTCTGCGCCATGGCTCCAGTAGAATATGTCTTCCTGGATCAGACAATGGTATGTGCTAAATCTTCGATCGCCTTCGGTCTTTTGGTTTCTTATTCAAGTGCTGTCATGCTAATATTCCCCAGGTGTAAAATGGGGATTGAGTCGGACAGTACACTCAAACAATAAATGAGTGAGATATCGAACTCGCAGCTTAGACCACTCCAGACATGAGGGAGGCTGTTGTATATAACGCAACGTGCCTCAACTAAAAGTGAAATGGCTGAATTCGGAATATCCGAGTGCCAAAAGGCGGCAATTCCTTCTACCACAGTTGGGGAATTCCGGACGGAGTCTTTTCGTTCAACAATGGCCACGGCTTAGGGTCTTTGAAAAATGTTGATCAACATTTTCGGGTTGATGTTAGACCGTACATACTCGACTGTGATTGCACGCGGTGGATACTCTGGGGTTTTTGGGGTACTCACGAACGGCGTTTTTCCCTCCGCACCCCGCAACCACGCTTTTCGGCAGGGCCACCATGTGGATTCCATTATACTAATGAAGAATTCTCGTGGGGTCGCAAGATGGATTTTTGCTCTATGTTCTCCTGTCATTGGGTAATTTGCCTTCTGCCTCACGGCCTTGGCTTCAACAGCTGCGGAATATGCTCTCCTTACGGTTAGGATGTGGATCTCTAGAAACCAGGGGACGGGAATATTCTTGCCCGAAGAGCTGTTCGTATGTCCATTATGATCTCACTGAGAGACGATCACGCTCGGGAATTCCTATATGGCACCGGGACATCAATTGGGCCTATATCATGGCGAGAGTTCCCACATGGATCGTGCACGGTGTGAAGAGTGAATCCTGGGAGGTGAGCGGGCTTACCAGTACAAGGTTACTAAAATTGCATTCCTTGCGTGAAAATGCGTGCGTCACTACCGTTTCTTACTGCCCTGGGGTGTATCTCGGCCGCTTTGGCAGTTCCTCATCCCAGAGTGCAGAGTCCGGAGTATGTCAACTGGACAACTTTCAAAGCCAATGGCGTCAACCTCGGAGGCTGGCTCGTCCAGGAGTCCACGATTGACAGCCAGTTTTGGGGCACATATTCCGGCGGCGCGGATGATGAATGGGGCCTCTGTGAACATCTAGGATCCCGGTGTGGACCTGTTTTGGAACATCGATATGCGACTTACATCACGAAAAGCGACATCGATAAGCTGGCCAACGTCGGTGTAGAAATCTTGCGGATTCCCACGACGTACGCCGCCTGGATCAAGCTCCCTGGCTCCCAGCTGTACTCTGGGAACCAGACAGCCTACCTGAAACAGATCGCCGACTACGCGATCACCCAGTATGGCATGCACATTATCGTGGATGTCCACTCGCTTCCTGGTGGCACAAATGGTCTCACCATCGGCGAGGCTAGCGGGCACTGGGGCTGGTACTACAACCAGACCGCGTTTGACTACTCCATGCAAGTCATTGATGCCGTCATCTCCTTCGTCCAGAACTCAGGGTCTCCCCAATCTTACACGATCGAACCGATGAACGAGCCTACTGATAACCCGGATATGTCCGTCTTCGGAACCCCTGCAGCGCTCTCAGATCGCGGCGCCACCTGGGTACTGAAGTATATCCGCGCCGTAATCGACAGGGTCGCATCCGTCAACCCCAACATCCCAGTCATGTTCCAGGGAAGCTTCAAACCGGAGCAGTACTGGTCCGGTCAACTCCCCGCCGATGCGAACCTTGTCTTTGACGTCCACACATACTACTTCGAACGCAACGTCACGTCCGAGACCCTCCCAGCCCGCCTGTACGCGGACGCGCGGTCCAAGGCCGGAGACGGCAAGTTCCCTGTGTTCACGGGAGAGTGGTCTATCCAAACCCTATACCAGAACTCCTTTGCTCTCCGTGAGAGGAATGTGAATGCGGGTCTCGATGCCATGTACAAGTATTCCCAAGGCAGCTGTTACTGGACCGCGAAGTTCTCGGGCAATGCGACCGTGAATGGGCAAGGAACACAAGCGGACTACTGGAATTTTGAGTACTTTGTTGACCACGGATACATTGACCTGACGAGATTCCATAATACGAAGTGAAAGATGAACTAGGGGTTCCTTTTGTTGGTCGGTTGAGGCGATATTTTTGTACTTAGTATTCAATTGATTCCCAATAATTCAATTTTGCAAATTCGAAGCTCACTAAACAGTGGCCGTAGCGCAATTTTAATCGCTATAACACAGAAACAACAGAGGAATATACAACTACCCACAATATACACGTACACGCAACAGTAACCAATCATCGAAACAGAAAAACAGAAAGCAAGGAAAAATACAGTCTTGCGACCGCTCATCAGACCGGACCATAATCTATCTACCGATATTTTCACCCTTGCACCGACCAGCGACGTTCACCCTAGCACGAATAAGAAACAAGTCCATAAAGGGCATAGACCATAACACATAACCCAGGTCTAGCGCCAGCAAAAGTACGGGCACGTGCCCCACAAAGCAAGGGGGTTGAGAAAACAAGCACAAGAAAACAAAAGACACCCAAGACAACACAGATGGTTTTAGTTCTCCGTGATTCTGAGAATGAAGTTAACGACAACGGCCGCTAACAAGGCGAGGGCCAGAACGGTGGGACCGAAACGGTCGTCGATGCCGCTCTGGCCGCGTTTGCGGATGCTGGCTGCGCGCCAGTGGAAGGTACAGAGGGCGTAGATCATGGCCGCCATGGCGATGATGGTAAAGAGACCGGCGGAGATACGACCGATGCGATCACCGAAGTTCAGGAGACCGACGGCCAAACCGCCCAGGATGACGGTAAAGTTGAGCCAGGAAAGGAAGGTCCGCTCATTGGCGAAGAAGACCTTGGGTTCGACTCTGGTGGGCAGGGCGATGCGCTTGCCTTTGGAGGATTTGTTAGTGAGACTGTGAGGGGATTGAGATGATTGATCCGTGATTCCTTTTTTTACTGACCTGGGGCAGTCTGGAGGAGAGGTTGACTCGACATTTTGGTCCGTGTGTGAGTGTGGGTACGGAAGGGAGGAAGAGATAAGAGCTATTGAAATGGGGATCCGGAGAGCTTGAAGGAGGAGTGAGAGCAATTGAGGCCGAGAGTTTCTGATTAACCTCGATGATGTTACAGCCAAGAAAGTGATGAAAAAAAAAGATAGATGACGCTCGGTTAAAGAAGGAAGAAGACAAGAGAAAGAGATAAAAAAATTAATTCTTTGCGTCGGGGGGGGGAGAGACTAGAGAGGATCGATACAGTTACTGCAACCGCTACTGTCGGTATTCAAGACGGCCCAGATTCTGCCCCGCTACAAAATGCTCCGGTCGTCTTGCTCCTTACCCTCTGGGGCCTAGTTTGTGGCGTCGGGTTGATTTCCGACCGTCCACTCCATCCCACGTGCCCTCGTTCGTTGCTGCTGTCATCGCTTGAGGTCGTTTCGGATTATGGTTACCCCGTGTTTCTGTGGCGGTGACGAGCTAAGCATGACACTAGCACTTAGCTGGTAAGTAGCTACTAAACCAATCCCGATCCAGTATGGGCTGGTTGAAAAGGGTGGACCAACAATCGACCGTCAAGCCACAATCCTGATAACACGCTCAACTGCGGCTCCTAAACATCCAACAAACACGCCCTGTTGGAATCCCGGTTCTCCCTATAGTCTTGGAATTTCGCCAACACCGCCGCTTGTTTCATCCCTACATACCAAATTACATCAGGTGAGTCTTATTCTTCTGCAGATCCTGACCGTCAATTCGTCTTCCCCCGAACTTGGAGCCGCTCTCTCTCCCCCCACAATCCTATCTCCAGATACACTCCGGCCTGCCCACCGTCGATTCTGGGCCCGTCTAGACCCCAAACGCAGTTAGACCATGCTAACTCGATAGGCTTATTGTAGACAGATATCTTCCTCCCTGACTATCACACCTACAATGGCTGTCGAGACTGCTCCTACATCCTCGGTGCGTGACCATGCAATTCTGTCCCGCCGCTAAAACGTCATTGTCCGCTATCGCTCGTCCATTGACTCGGTCCGCGCTGACATCTGTCTCTTGTGGACGCCTATAGCCTGTCCCCATCGCGGACCTCACCAAGATTGCCTCCGAGGTACGTTCCTCTCCTTTTCATTCGTCTCTACCTAGTCACGATAACACAAGTATTCAACACAACTGTCGACCACGGCAAGATAACAAAGGCCTGGACTAATTCTAGAATAGGCATGTGACTCCGCTCTGAACGGTGTCGAGGGCTATGACCACGCCAAGGTCGGCGAATGGAACTCTCAGATCATTGTGAGTGCAGACCGTATTCTCTGACAACGGATTGACAACGGACTAACCACCAAACCGCTATAGAACACCATCCTCAAAGCTCTCATCAGCGCTACCGCCCCATCTACTCCCTCGGCAGCCGCCCCCTATCGGTTCACCGTGAACAGCACCATCGTGCAACAAGGCCTGATCGACAAGTCTGCCGCCGCAGAGGGTGCTGCCAGCAACACCGGCAAGCGCGGTATGCACTCCGCCTCCGGCGCCTTCTGGGATGTCAACCGCGATGGGATGTGGACATTCAAGTACCCCGGTGCTGATGAGCGGGGCTTGGATATCGTCGTGAGTGTAACATGGTTCGCCGTCAATTAAATCCAAGCATATCAACTTGTACGGGGTTAAAGGAAAGATAAAACGGTTCCTGATATGTTTGGTGGTTTTGGTTGATTCTTAGAGATCCATGGTCGTTATTTTACGATTTATTCTTCACTCTATTATTTTAGTATTATTATTTTTCGATTTGCTTTGGGAGCAAGGAGCAACGAGCCAGATAAGGGTTTCTGTCCTATCATTTGTTGGTATGATGTTTTTCTCGGGTGAGCCTTATACCTTGTGTGTTTCTGATCGTATCGACACATCTGTAGGGGAATATACAAAGAACTTGTACAGACAGACTATTATACGTATATTCTTTATTTCGTATTGGATATACCGCAATCATACGTGAGAATGCCATAGACTCGTAGACATCCAAAACAATACAAGTGGGAACAAACAAAGCCTGAACTCCAATGCAGAAGGCAAAATGCCTCCATGCTACACCCAATCCCAGGCGCCATGCTAACCATGAAGAAGGACTAACTGACAACGGACAACAACGGTGCGTACCTCAGGACCTCTCTCACCGAGGCTCAGAATAATCGTTCAGAGCAACGCACACCGCCCCGCGGTGATGCCCACTGTACTGACGGATGACCTGGCCCGAAGCCAACTCCCAGAGACGAGCGTAGTGGTCACTTGAAACGGTGACTAGATAGGCTGAATCGGCGGAAAAGGCACAGTCCCACACCCATCGCTGGTGATTGGCGAGGGTGGTCTCCAGGTAAAGGGTGTTGGTATTCGGATCTACTGGGGGACCATCTTCTTGTACGGGGAAGGTTTGCTGGGGCTCGTTGGTGGGTGGCGGGGTTCCATTGATAAAGCTGAATGGGTTGATAAAGTCGGCTCTGCCCTGTTCACTGCTTGGAGTGTTCACCAGGCTTTCTGAAGGAGGTGGGGATGACGGTATCTCTTTAGGTTCTGGGGTGATGCCTTTGGCCTTGGCCTTGGCTGCTTGCGCGGCGGCGATCTTGGCCGGGGGATAGTCGAGATCGAGGTTCCAGACCTTGGCTGTGTGGTCTGCTGAGCAGGTGGCGAGGTGCTTGACGTCTGGTGAGAGAAGGATGCGAGTGAGGTAGTCTTTGTGAGCCTGGAAGGTGCACATTGGGACGATGCGAGTTAATTCAGCATCTTGGACCATGCGCCAGATGTAAACGTTGCCCTAGCGGGTCAATTAGTCTTCGGATCGCAAAGTGAATGAATGACTTGCTCGATGTGACACAAAAAAGGTAGAGAGATGAATATTGAATACCTTCTTATTTCCTGCGCAGAGTAAAGATCCATCGCTTGCAACACTAACACTTTGCACAGCAACGTCATCTTCAGGAATTAGCTGATGAGTGCAAACACTCTCACCCAGGTCCCAGACCCGGACAATACCAGCACGATCACCACTGATGAGTTCACCCTGGTTGGGGTGGATAACAACGTCATTGACGGGGGCTTTATGGGCATAATTGCGTTGTAGACTGCCGGTGCGCGTGTCCCACACTTTCACCGTGCCGTCTTCCGAACTAGTGACCATCCACTTGCCTTCGCAGTGAAATGCAACACCGGTAATGTTGTTCGTATGACCATCAAAGGTCATAACCGGGTTGGGATTAGTGGACTTGATATCATACAGCTTGACATTGTTGTGACCTGCGGCGGCCAGATAGCGCTTGTCTGGAGTGATGCATAAGCGATTTACTTGAGAGTCCGGATGCTGGATAGTGCGCGAGCATATTCCAGACAGAGCTTCCCAGAAACTGCCATATAGGATTAGCGCTCTGAATATACCGGCAATCGTAGAGAAAGCACCTGACTTACCGAATGGTGTGGTCATATCCGGCTTTTGATAGCGAAGCGGTCAATTAGCGTCACTGAAATGCCAACCGAAGATCTCGAAGCTGATGCTGGAATCCAGCTTGTACTTACCGGTGCAAAGAATGACGCTCATATTGAAGGTGCGGGAACCTATGAGGAACTGGAGAGAATTAAATATCAGGAGACCCTGAGCGTTTCCTTCCCCATCAGCGGAAAGAAAGTCGATTTGATTCCTGCCGGCCTTATGCTGCGGCGGTCTTTGCTGCCCGCAATCCCTGGCCGTTCTGGGCAACGTACACGTGAGCGGTGGTTAAGGCGGTGGATGAGGCGGAAAGCGACGAGGGAGATTAAAAGTCGACTAAAAAAAGGACCGTTTAAATCATGTTTTCCATCTTAGTCGCAGATAAGATACAAAGTTTCGCCTTGCGCTTTGTTTTCTTCGTCAGCGAGGATCATTCCGTGGTTGTCAAAGGGGTGGTCTGACAAAACTCATCATCCCCGTCATTCACCTTCGTTTGAGCGGCGTCAAAAGTCGTGTCCTTGTTCAGTTCAAATTTCTTGAGGCGTCGTATCTGGCAACTAGTTCTTCCAATCAAGTAACTAATCTTGGTTACCGACCGTTTATTCGTCTGGAGGTCATTTGTACCGTTCCAAACCCTGTGACTTCCGGCGAGAGCCGTCCTACAAAACTTCTGCGCCTACCCAGTATTCTACGGAAGAAATTGAAAACTCTCGATTAGAGGTGTTGTGGCGTCTTAACAGGTACGGACTGCAGCGCAACGAAGGGCTATCAGAGGAAACTACCGAGAATTTATTCTTACTCATTTGCATAGCCTGTATACATCATCTATGGCGTTTCTCCTCGTGTCGCTGCGTTGATATTCTCGACGCCACATACCTTGCGCCCATCGACTTGTCTACAATACGCATCGCACTTGTCTCGTTTGGGACCTCCGCTTTCGTTGAAGGACGGAAAGCCATCGTGGTGGACACTTTGTCTTTTTGATCTAGATTATACTGGGTTATCTCTGTCAAGATGGATGGAAGCGTGGTTGAAGGTATTTCTACCTCTCTCCAGACCTGCCCTCCTGATCTTCAAGGGCTTTACGCTCTCGAAGATCTTCCATCTCCCCCTTACATACATCATCTGCATGTGAATGATCTGGGGCTTACACCACCCCCTGGGTCGCAGCCACAGAAATCTGTCGATGCTCAGGTGCTCTCCCAGGAAGAGGACCATAGTTTGCCGGACGGCGGTGATCAAGGAGCATACACTAGCAACCAGTCTTCCGAGGACGAAAAGACGAAGCCTTCGGCGGGAGGTATTGGCTCGTCCAAATCACCAGTCCAAGATGTTGACCCTGTAGGTTTCGCTGGTTCGACTGACACAGTACATGCACTGTTTGACCCGCTCTTCGATTCTGAGGCTGTGCTTCGAGAGCTTGATGCGGCCTTTGCGTCTCGAAAACGAGCTGGCGATGAGGCTTTCCCGGAGCTTGATATGTGGGGTCCACCAGAAAAGAGACGACTAGTCGAGTTACAACAAGACCACTATGTTCCTTCTCCTGGTGAAACGCCTTCATTGTCTTCTCCCAACTCTTCCCACCAGCCCGAACAGGGCGGAACCGCTCCTCATACACCAGGAATAGAGAGGCTACCGTCGCCCAATCCACTATTTGACTCTCTGGATGCCCTGTTTGAGGATCCAGATTTCAATATTCCTTTGATACCCGATAACGAGCTCTCGCCCGATTTCGAACTTGAGCCACCCCTCGCACAAGGCGACCAAATCAGCCATGAACCGTCAAATCATGAACCGGCAGATAGCATTGAAAACGACCAACATCCCCTTGCGCTCCATGCAGACTCGATGCCAAAGGAGCCTTCTGTCAGCGATCTTACTAAAGACCGATTTTCTCTTGACTCTTCGGATCTGGCGTCTAATACTAGCCGAGAAATCTTACAACGAATTCATCAAGAACCAGAGTACACGTCCCCTTATCCAGAATATGGAGGGCCACTAGGTTATCTTCCGTCGGCACCAAATATCCACGTCAGATACATTGAAGTTGCAGAGGATCGAATGAACTATCGCCTCTCCAGCCTGAAGGATAGGGTGTATCATCTCACTTGCGAGCGTAACAAGTACAAAAACGCTTGGTTTCAGTGGACTACTATAGACCCTGTAACGGGCAAGACCAGAGAACAACTGCTGCGCGAGGAGAATGCCATGCTTCGACGTGTTTCCAGCCAACACCAGAACCGTGTAGAGCAGTATAAGAGAGAGGCGGCAGAGTGGAAAAACAGGCTACATGAGCTTGGGACTATCTATAACAACCTTCTCTACGAGATCCACGTCCAGAAACAAGTGCCTGCGGTTGCTCCAATCCCGGATTCATACAAACCCCCACGTGCATCGCAAGCCCGGGGACAATCTCTCACGCCGAATTCGCACCCCGTTACTCCGGCGCCCTCAGGGGACATGCAGCAGGTTAGGCAAGGCTCTCAACCCCTTCATCCCCAGGGTATGCCACCGGGCGCCTCTGGTATTCACGAGAATCAGCAATCTACTAGTTCAGCAACAGAACACGGGTCGACTCCAGTCACGATTGATTTGACGGACGAGATGGAGAACAAATCCGCTCCCTCGGAACCTCCTACAGAAGGAGACCAACGCCGCATGGAGATGCTCCAGTCCCTACGAAACAAACGATATGGCTGGCTTGAGGCCGGACAAACCGGGCACGATTTTCGTACCTCGAGTTCGCAATCTCCACGACCTCAGCAAGACACCGGTACCCCAGTTGAGCGGAGTCTCAGTGATCCTCCGGATCATACAGCTGCCCAGACCGGTCCCATCGATGATGATGACGACGAGTTAGCTCGTGCGATGGAGGCGGAACTGGCCGAAGCTTAAAAGATTATGATACCCCTTCTTATTTCTTTTAAAGATTTCACCGTTGTAATCGAAGCTTGCATAGCGATTAGGGAAACTTGCATACTTAATTAACGTGAAAATCTGACATTGTTTCACTATGGTCACTTGACAATCTGTTGTACTTGTAGCTGAGTTGACGCCATATAAAGCTCTCAGCAACTATTACTATTACTATGTGGGCTAAGTGGTCAGTTGAACAGACTAAGTAGTTTATCCTTTGAAATGAAAAAAATAAAAATAAAAATAAATCTAATAAAGAATACCTTTATGAAAATAGTCAGATTAAAAACTAATGTATCGAAGCGCTCAGCTAGATCCACCTTTTTTATCTTGTGCTACCAACGTATCTGACTTCTTGCTTAAAGGCTTCCTCAAAAGCCCAATGCCGTGCTCTGAGCCTCATGAGTACTGGGTGCTCATCTTCAATGTCGCCATTGAGGTTCGACCGGAAGTAATCATATGGGGGAAATTTAGCAATTTTCAGAGCCGCTATAAACCGCTTAAACCCCTGTTCAAAAATGGAAGTAAACTGATAGTTTCCTGAAGCCAAAACCGTAGCATGGTCATTAAGCAAGGCACACGTTTCCGAATGCACTACGTAATCATCCATCAAATTAGCTTGATATTCATTGAGGACTACGTATAAGTACATACTCTTCGGCACATTGAAAGGAGATACTCCATATAACTCCTCGTATATCTCAGGATCTTGTCTCAGATTCATTCTGTATAACTTGGCATCTTCGTATAGAGATCCCCCAAGAATCGTTATATTATTCCCATGAGAATGCGTTGAGTTACGGCCGTAAAGAAGACCACTTTTCTCCCGTATAGCTGATTGCGCTTGTAGGCCGTGAGGAAACGGTGTCTGGTCTCCAAGCAGTTTCTATCGCTTTGTCTCGTTTTTACTCTCTTGTTTGAATGTAAAGGACTGTTTGCGGAGAGGCTTTTGCCTATTTGTTCCATCCATAGGTGTTCTCAGATGACTGGACTGGGTGTTTTTGGTCTCTTGTGTCTGGTTGCGGTGTTGTTCATGGTTGATGGCATCTCTAGGGATATCGTTCTGAGCTGGGAAAGCGCACGGGATGAAGAAGGATAAAAGTGATATCGAATCGGTTGCTGAATATGCAAAGTATGCTGCTGTTCTAGACATCTGAGGCTAGGTATAGGCAGTCCTTTTCCTTTTTTTTTTTTTTTTTTTTTTTCGCCTTTCTTCTTATATATGACTACTGAGAATAATAGACACCGGATATCATGGGGAAATATATGACAGAGGTATTCAAGGGATAATAGTCCCGCTGTGCGAGTTTCCATTGATTGACTCTGGGGATACGTTGGTCATGCCGTACACACAGAAGTAGAAGACAAAGAGTTCTCATGGAAGAAATGGGATATTCCATGGATGGATCATAACTCCACAGGAAATTCACATAGCACGCTTGTAAGACTTGCTATTATAATGGCAATATCCCAAATTGGCATTTGCTATCGCAACAACGCCCATGGTTTGGAGAACTTGGTCGCCCTTTTTCTGGCTCACAACTGGTATGTACCTCTTTGTGACCCCGTAGTTTTCCACAGCAACTAGCAGAGGTTACAAGATCTCAGTATGTGGCTCTTATATCCTACTAGAACAAGGTTACGAAGTAGATGTTCAGAAATTTTGAAAGGAACCCTGCGCAGCCTTGAAACTGGCAGTAGTCGATTATTCCCGTAACTCTTTGGAAAGCTTCAATCACGTTGAACTGGATCGTATCGAGCAGACTCTCAAAATCTAGACCTCACCGACAGCCCCTAAACTTAGCTAGACCAGTTATGTACTTTCGGGTTAGAGTCGTATTAAGGCTGAGGGGTGGGGTTATTAGTATTATGTACATAAACTCAATTTCTTTGTGGTGGTTAGGTTTTACCTTATTTTAACAACCGGTTGTTCCCTTCCAACAACACCTCAACATCACCATGATCTCTTGAGAAACAATTACCCCCTCCCAACCCCACCCCATGCCACCTTGAATAGTCCCTCAAAATCTATACCACCTATGTAGTATAGTATTTCAGGCCAGAAGCAGCAAGTAACCCTAGCGCCAATACCGCTTATAGAGGTAAACAAAGGAAACAAGGCTTTCATATTCTCGAATAATCCAGTGCAAACGTATATTTTTATAAATATACTGGTAGAGAAGAAGAAGCTAGTGTTGATAGTGGGTGTGGTCAGCGTCAGCTTTCAGTCACTGTATCCTATGTGGTACTCATAAAATCTATAAGGATATCATAAGAGTCAGCTAGAGTATTATAAGTCTGGAAGTAAGTATAATTATAGTTTAGCAAACAATCATTAAATAACTCTACCAAGCATTCTAGGGTTAAACTACTAGCCTAGGACAACGAAGTTTACATATTTTGGACTTGTCTATACTACACCATTTTTTTTTTTTTTAAACTAACACTTTTATTGTCCTTTCTTCTCAAGATTCATATAAAAGAGCACCGATTATAGAATTCGACGTGTCCACAATTTATTACCACTTCCAGGTAAAATATACCACCTTCCATCTACAGTACAAAGTGTGACGTGCCCTAGGTTGAACCGCAAAGAACTTATATACCTCAACAACCCCAACTAGACCAAAATGATCAATTTTGCTCAAGGGTTTGAGTCTGATGATCTTGTGGCCAAACTGGAGGGATGTATATCTACTACTATTATTACTATTTTTGTCGTAGAGAGAGAGGGCCACCAAAATTGGCAGGACGTATTGTATATTCAGATAATGAAAGTGTTCTAATCTACAACATAGTCAACTTATCCTGTTAAGTAATAACAGAATGATGAAACTTGACGATATGTTCTTGGGGTTACCCCGACTGTTTGTTCAATGCGTCCTGTATCAAGACTGAGCTCAGGTACTTACAAATATAAGACCTTGAGACAGAAGAGACCAGTACTTAGGTTCTGGCATGTCCCTCACGAAGCTTGAATCTTTGGATCTGGAATGGAACAGTCCAAATACCCGTGGATTATATCATGACAAGTCGTAACGATCGTAACTAACCAAAATCAAATGCACCTCCAATGCTGAGCCAAGCTGTGGTAAAGCAATATCCCGTATGGAGACCCCTGTCTATGTAACAGTTCTAAAAAAAAAAAAAAAAAAAAACAACAACAACAACAGTGGAGATATACATGCCCAGCTTATATATGTGGCACTTAACTATATATGTATGTTCTGGTTGACCAATAGTATCCAACCCAAAATCAAAAACAGACTCCAACAAGCTCCTCCTTGGACGGGGGCTTGTTGGGAGAGATCGAAATCAAGCTCACTCAGTAGCTGCCGTTGTCGAGGGACTATGAGGACCATCCTTCTCGCGCATCGGCGATCCATTGGCACCGCCGTTCTTCAGCGCCTTCCGGGCTTTCCGGCCACCGCAACAAGCCGCACAGCAGGAGCCTAACTGCAGAATGAATGACAGCAGGTTGCAGCCGCTCGCAATCCACATGAAGGCCATCATGCGGGTGCCCAGTTCCGCCTCAATATTCAGGTTATAATCCGCTGAGGTGAAGACGTTCTTGAAGATAATAAACATGACGGTTGCGACGACGGAGGCGACAATGGTGAAAAGGGCCGTGAGGAAGGTCAGAATGAAGAACGGAAAGGCGCGAAGGAGGATAAAAGTGCGGCGACGGTGGGCCGGGTGAGCGGCGTTGACGGTGGGGTCCGCTGCAATGGACTGCGGGGGTCGCGAGGACGTCGCGAGCGGAGAGAGAAAGATCATGATGAAGGTCAAGACGGCGGACAGGATGAAGAGGGCGAACATCCAGTGGGAGGCGATCCGAGCGATCTTGAGAGCGTCGGTAATATCTCCGGGGAGGGCAACTGGATTTTTGTTAGTTTTGGTCCGTCATGGCTGTAATTGAAGGTCGAAACCATACTGGTAGCTCCGGAGAGCAGTTCGGACATAATGATCTCAACCGGATTGAACCAGTAGAGGGTCTCCGGTTTGGAGCATTTAGTGATGCCGCTATCATTGTATCCCTCACAGAAACTCCACAGACCGACGGTATAGAAATCATGTAGACCGATGGAGCGGGCAATACTGTTAATCAGGACAGCATTGGGAACGGAGAGTGGGATGATATTAGAGAGATCAATCTTGAGGAACCACGTGTCGCGGAGGACGGGTTTGTTAGATACATTGCCAATGACGACTAGCACGAGGAAGATCCATGCGATGAGGTAGAGAAACGAGCGCAAGAGACGGTGCCAGAGGACTTTCGAACGACTCCGGCCGTACTCCGGCCGTTGAGGAGCTTTTCGGAAGAATGGGAGGTTGGCCATGGAACTTAAGCACGTGCGGCGGACGGAGTTGTAGGGCTGGTAGTAGGAGATTCTATATCAAAAGAGAGTGAATGAATGATTGATTGATTGATAGCTTTCAATTGTTGAAGAAGTAAAAAAAAAAAATGAATGTCAAGTGACTGCAACTGCAACTGCGTCGACGGATGACGTAGACTGTAAAGGACAAAACAATATAGAAAGACTAGAAATCACTTCGGACGGTCTATACAAAAGAATACGATATACAAGGTGTGTGAGTGTGAGTGTGAGTGTGTTATACAAAAGGAAAAGATAGGGCTGGAGGGAAAACCAGGAAGGCAGGAAGGAGGAGGAGGAGGAGATGAACAAGCCGAAATACGAGAAAATGGAGAAAGGACAGACGAAGATCGAACGGTAATTTCACTTCCAATTGAACCTTAAGGCGAAGGCGACCGTATAAAGTTGGGTGTCCAGGGAAAATCTTCGCACGATCAGCGGCGGCGTAATGCGGTCGTAAGTGCTGGGGGTCCAGAATCCCCGATCCGCTGGCTAAGGGGGTACCGATCGTCCTCTTGGCGATAGTCCATCCTGTCATTCTTTTCCCTTTCCCAGTCATTGTGGTCTCGATGCGAAATCCTGATAAGCGGTTGATCCTTTAATAGCGCCGTTGATCGAAACAGTGGTTTCAATTTGTTACTACTAAAATACCCGTATGTATTGGAATCTTACCCGCAGGATTTCATTACGGAGAAATTTGACTTTGAGCTAAGATGAAAATACCGAAGAAATCCCAATCAAATCAAATCAAACAAAACAAAACAAAACAGTGTAAAAGAGAATTGAATACAATAATACAATAGAACCGGATAAAAACAAAAAAATATATGAGAAAAAAGAGGCGCAGTTGCAAGCGAACGGATATTACGTGTTTCACTTGAACGAGAATAACCTCAATCCAATTATCCATATTTAGAGAGAATGAGTTGTTTGTGTTTATTATGCCAACCCCTGGGTTTAATTGGGCCACCTGCACCGCCGCAACGTCATCGTAGCGTGCTGCTCCACTGTGGAGTTCTTAATTTATCTTTTTGACATTTTTATTTTTATTTTTTTTTTTTTGGCCAGCTGCCTGGACCCAGAATCCATTCATTCCTATTAGTCTAGACGAGCCAAGACGTCCAAGTTCTCTTAATTCTCATGCAGCCGCTGATCGGCTTACGATCGCCCTACCGGTACTCAAAATTCTGGGTGGCTTGCAGTCCCTGTTACCTAAACATAAGTATTCAATCCATTACAGACAATACACAATACAGTCTTTAAGGGTCTTTGCCTCAGGTTGCTAAACTCCGCATCGACCTTTACTTTTTCTCCGTCATTCCACCCTTTTTACTTTCTCCTTTTCCTTATACTCCATACCTTCTTTTGTATTGTATCTCTTATCCTTTTCTTTCCTTTTATATATATACAAATATATATATATATATATATACACATAGGTACATAACCAGATCTTTCATTCTCTAAACCGGCATCATGCGGGTGATGATCCGGATACTACCGCTGTTGGCGGCAGGCGGCATTCTACCCACCTGGGCTGCAGGTGATTCCTCAAGTTCGACCGACACGTCCACTGGCACGGGGAAGGGCATGTTCACGCTGGAAGGAACCATCACCGCTAAAGTCAGTGATGCCGCAACCCCGACCGGCACCTATCAATCTATCACCTCAACCGTCACCCTAGGCAGCGGCCATGGCACCGTCGTCGGCTCTCACACCCTCACCGGCTCCGACGCAACAGTGACGACGGCGTCGAATAGCACCAATACGAATACCTCCACCTCCAATTCTGTCACGGTGCTGGGCGGCACCCAGACCCTCAACGGCACCGCCAATGCCACCATGACGGCCTCGGCCTCGGCTTCGTCATCCCCGGTGATCAACACCCAACCCTGCAACGGCTACCCCGAGTTCTGTGCACGGAACTATTCTAACATCACTGTGGTTGCTGCTCACAACAGTCCCTTTGTGAAACCGGGCAGTGTTGCCGCCAATCAGGCTTTGGACGTCGAGGACCAGTTGAACGATGGAATTCGAATGTGTAAGTGGATCTTCACACAGAGGGAGAGAAAGAGAAAGAGAGAGGGGCTAGGAAGCAGGTAACTGATGCTCAAATAGTACAATTCCAGACCCATCTGGTCAATAACACCATGTACCTGTGCCACAGCAGCTGCGAGCTGCTCAATGTCGGGACCCTCGAGGCCTATCTGACCACAGTGACTAAGTGGATGAAAGCCCATCCGTACGACGTCGTCACCATTTTGATGGGCAACTCGGACTACGTCGATCCCGGCAATTTCACTGGACCTATCCAGAGTTCCGGTCTGATGGATTTGGTGTATACCCCTACGAAGATTCCCATGGCCTTGGACGACTGGCCGACGCTGTCCAGCATGATCATGTCCGGCAAGCGTGCGGTCATGTTCCTGGACTATCAGGCCAACCAGACGGCGTACCCATGGCTCATGGACGAATTTTCCCAGATGTGGGAGACGCCCTTCTCACCGACGGACCGGGACTTTCCTTGCGACGTCCAGCGTCCTCCGGATCTGGCAGCGCCGGACGCCAAGAACCGGTTGTATATGGCTAACCACAACCTCAACCTCCAGATGGATGTGCTGAATCTTGACCTGCTTATCCCGAACACGGCGCTCTTGAACGAGACGAACAACGTGACCGGATATGGCAGTCTCGGTCTGATGGCAAGCAACTGCAGCAGTAAGTCTTTTTTTTTTTTTTTTTTTTTTTTTCCTTCTGCGTCGATCGGGAAAGGTCTAACAGCTCCTAGAAATCTGGAATCGTCCCCCGAACTTCCTCCTAGTCGACTACTACAACTATGGCCCAGTCAACGGCACGGTCTTTGAGGTTGCGGCGCAGATGAACAATGTGACGTACAACGGAAAGTGCTGCGGCGTGGCCAGCGCCGGCATGAGCTTGACACCTCAGAGCGTCATGGCCACCGCTCTCATGATCGGTGGCATCCAATTCCTCGTCTCTCTGTTTTGAATCACTTGATATATATATTTATAGTTTGTATAGAAGATTTGGCTGGGAGTTACGAGATACGACAGCCCTGTTTACTACATATTTAACGAGAAACGACCTACAGTAGCGCATATCGGAAAGAACAATATAAAATTTTCAATCCAATAACTCCATATCACAATCAACACCACCTCGTATTTCATAAGTACCATAAGAGGGAGAGGATAAGCTCATATGCTCCGTACCAATGCATAAAGATAGGGCAACACCCGAACCAGTTTAGCGCACCACCTGATTTATCCGCAACCTCCACCGCCCGCGGAGACAATTTACTCATACCAACATCAAAAACATATACTCAATCCAACCGATTCCCCTCTTAAACCAAACCTCCCCTCACTCCTCACCCCCTCAATTAACTCCCCTCCAAACTCAACGAAACTCAAAAAATACAAGAAATACAGGAACAATGGTCGACATAGTCCCCCTCTCCAGCTACCCAAGCTACATTGACCTCCTCCCCTCCATCCAAACCTGCAACATAACCAACCTCCCCGAAAACTACTTTCTAAAATACTACCTCTACCACGCGCTCACCTGGCCGCAACTGAGCTTCGTCGCCATCGTCCGTCCCAAGAATGGGTACTCCAAACACACAGCCCCGGGCGGGGCCACAACCGCCAGCGAGCAGTATCCGAAGGTAGTGGGGTATGTGCTGGCCAAGATGGAAGAGGAGCCGACGGACGGGGTCGCGCATGGACATATTACTTCATTGAGTGTAATGAGGACGCATAGACGGTTGGGTATTGCGGAAAGATTGATGAGGATGTCTCGTATGTGTTTTCTTTCTTTTTTTTTTTTTTTCTTTCCTTTTCTTTCCTTTTGGTTCTTGGGGTTGTGATTTGTGTTTTGGGGGTGGTGGTTTTAGTGACGGTTTGATTGGGATGCTGGGGGTTATGGGCTAATGAGCTAACCTTTTTGTTTTCTGGTTTAGAACGTGCTATGGCGGAATCACACCGCGCCCATTACGTCTCGCTTCATGTGCGTGTTAGCAACACCGCTGCGCTGCGGTTATACCGCGATACGCTGGGATTCCAGGTCGAGACTGTCGAGAGCAAGTACTATGCCGACGGGGAGGATGCGTATGCGATGCGCATGGATCTGACGGATATGTGGATGGACTGGGCGGAGATCGAGCGGAAGGATCGTCTGCGGGCGGAGAAGGAAGGTAAAGATGCCGATGAGGGTGAGGAGGTTGGTGAATTGGGGACGGAGAAGGAGAAGGAGAAGATGGTGAAGGTGCGGGTTGGACGTGGATTGGGCGTGGGAGATTTGGTGGAGAAGAATGAGTCGCAGCCTCAGGCTTAGTGGGAGGGGGGCCATTCTTCTCTCCTCTTTCTATTCTTTCTTTCCTTCTCCCGTGATAATATTATTCATGCTAGGGTGTGGTATAGATCAGGGGGGTTTTTCTTTCTCTTTCTGCTGGATGTTGATTGTCTGGTAGTTCTTCTACTTGCATATGTGGAAATGAAAGATGTATATGTACACTGCTTGCAATGCAGAGTGGTGTGTGTGTGTGTGATGCAAGTTCATGTCTCATTAAGCGCCAGTATCATGCTAACTACGGCTAAACAAAAACTTCGAAAACATGTAGACCACAAGGGATGGAAAGACTCGACATGCCATTGGCACTATTACCCATGAACACATACAAAAATGCAGATACTCCCAATTAAACACCGTTCCTCATGTACCATATATAAACCCCCCCCCCCCCAACCCCCCAAATAACCAATCACGGATTCCATGCCATGCAATTGCTCAATAACTCAAATGTTCAGAAGCTTGGAGTTAACCGGACTTTTTGTCTTTCTTTTCTAGGCCCGGTACCTCCTTGCGCTTGATCTTTTCCGTCTCCTTCGGGCTTTGCTTGGCCTTATCAGCCTCCTTTTGAATTTCTTTACCACTATTTTGAGGCTCATTTTCCTCAAGATGATGCGAAGATACAGTGCTAGAGGTACTGATTGAGCTGATCACGCTAATCTCGGCAACGGACCGTGCCGGAGAAGGAATGGATGTAAAAGATTGGACCGTCGACTGACTCTCCCGGTTATGGTCGAGGTCCAGATTCTGCACCTGTTGCTCGAGAGTTGGCTCCGGCGGAGCGGTTTCTATTTGGCGAGACCGTTCCAGACGGCGTCGATTGCGCTTGGTCCGTCGCTGCTCCTTATGCTCCTCCCTCGCTCGCCGCAGGACGTCCCGGAAGGCCTTCCGCGTGGCCCGCGTCTCCTCTTTCAGGGCTCGTTTCTCAGCCGCACTTCGTTCATGTTGCTGGGGCGATTCCCATCGTCCTCCCCAGCCGCGCCCGTAGCCATGCTGCTGTGGATACTGGCCCCACCCCTGCCGCCAATTGCGTCCGGCGAGCCGGTCCCGACGGCGAGACTCTTGCAAAACGGTGAGCTGCCGTCGCAGCCCTACCGCTGCTTCATGCAAATCGCGGTCATGGTGGTCTTCGAGCGATAAGAGCTGCGCCCGAACCGTAGCCAGATCGGAGGTGCTTAGCTCCGACGTCGTGGATAACGAGTCAATCGATTCCAACGACGAGTCGGAGGAGGCCGAACCAGTGGATAATCTACGGATACGTTGGACAGGTAGTGTGCTAGCGGGCTCGACAGGTTTGACAGGCTCGGCAGGCTCGACAGCGTTGGCGACCGGTGGATAGGGATAGTTATACGCGTTTGGATAGTAAACTTGGCCGCGAGCGTCAGTCGCAGGCCATTCGTTGCGGGGTCGGTGGACCAGACCGGTGAAAACATCTTCCACCTTTCGTCCTTGGAGACTGGCTTGTTCTTCTATCCACCGACCATGCGCCATGGCGTGCTCTTCTACCTGTCGGCCATAATGGGAGGCTTGCGCACTGATCTGATCCCCATACTGCGCAGCGTGCTCCGAGATGCGCTCGCCGTACTTCTGGGCCTGGGAAGCTAGCGAAGATATCCAACCCAGTGGTCCACTTTTAGAACTCGAGTTTTGCTGTGGAGGGGGCCAGGCTGTAGCATTCCAGTTCCACGAAGCGTTGTGTTGATAGGGAATATGTGGCTGGGGGGTATAAGGGTATGTAGGATGGTGAGGAGGTGGAGGATGGTAGTATTGAGGAACACCGTAGGGTGTATGTGGAGTAGGAGGCAGCTGTGGATGTTGTGGACTCGGGTATGCATAAGGTGCAGGAGAGTGGCGATTACTTGCTGGAGGCGACAGAGGTGACATGGGTTGTCTCGAAGTTAATGATGGAGTAGGCCGCACCGTCACCGCTGTCCGATTCTCCTGCGAGACCCGCGTGGCAGCAGGATAGCATCTAGGGCAAAGAGGAGATGCCGGTGCATTTTGTGGGTCGGTGACGTAGGAAAATGTGATGCACGTTGCGCGGGGTTCGAAGAAGTATTGGTTCCATTCTGTGATAACGGCCGATATTCGCTTCCGGCGCTGCTCATCTGTCTCTTGTGGGCGATCTTTGCGATCTCGTTGGATCTGAGCCCTAACCTGGCGAGGTAATTGATCGGAGGAGGAGGCGAGGCCGAGATGTGGAGGAAACAAATATCGCAAGAACATGTCCCAGTCCTGCTGGATGATGTGCTCAGTGCGTGAACCCCAGCAACGAGGGCGACGAGGGAAGTCCTTAGATTGACTCCGGGGGTAGATGGTTAGGTGATGCTCGAGGACCGGCCGTCCATTGTCAACGGTAGGGACTGGGCGTTCAACAAAGTAAGCGGCAGCGGAGGTGAAGTTGGCGGGCGTAAGCGGAGAGGAGGCGAGTACAACGGAACTGGAGCTATCGCTTGATGCAGTATCCCCAAATGAGACATCTCCCCCTCGGAGACGGAGTATGACCCGATTCACTTCGGCCGATGCAATGGCATTTCGAGTGAGCGGATCGACAGCGGAATACGGCGGAGGAGCCTCCTCTTCATGGTCCATCACGGATATCTGGGGAAAATGGCAGGGTGTCGGGGTTGATTTCAATGAACTCAAGTGACCTTTAGGCTCGTCAACGGTGATCCATCGCGCATAAACGATTAGATAACCTGCAGCCTTCTAGAAACCAGACACAGCCGCTGACGCTGGGAAGGCAGGCAGCAAGATTATCTAGCGCTTCAAGTGGGACAATCGGTATTTCAAATACGAGTCGATCCGAAAGGAATGACGGGGATGAGTTTTAGTAGGATAGCCAAGGTCCAAAATCACTCCACAAAAATGTATCAACACCGGGAAAGATGACAGTTCAGGCAAGACAACAATAAGATAAAGTGAAGCTTCTCGTAAGGCGGCGGATGGTCACCTGCGATCACGGGGCCTGCGGGCCGGCATGTGATTGGCTTGACGGCATCGATAAGGCTGACTGATCGAACATTCCATGGATTCGATGCAAATATTAATCTTAATTCATCAGTCAATTATATGTGCATGGTATCTAAATTCTAAACGCCCGTTGCGATTTTACCAAAACTCCATACTTTGAGTTCTAGAGAAGAAAAAAAAAAAAAAAAGAAAATGAACTCAATCCCAAGCATCTCCCCAATCGTCCAGGTCCTCCTCTTTGGGCTTGGTTTCGATCTTTTTGACTGGAGCCACCGTCTTAGGCTTAGTCGTGCTATTACGACTGGCACTTCGAGCCGAGGCTCCCGCGGAAGTAGTCTTGCTCAAGCCCTTAGGTAGAGTTTTCTTTGCCTTGGATTGTGCCGCAAGCCAACCGGCGAAGTCCGGCTCGCCTCCATCATCGTAGGGCACAGGGGCAGGCTTGGACGCCGGTGCAGACATGGTGGAGGAAACCGTAGTTGCGGCAGGGCTGAATGGATCATCTGTCTTTTCCCCGTCTTCATCGTCCATGGCACCCCACGCTTCGTACACGTCATCTGGTTCGTCGACTTCATTGGTGACCGGAACGACCTGCTCTGACATTGACCGGTGGCCTAGGGGCTGTGCTGCAGGACGTGGAGTCGCTTTTGGCAAATCAAGTTGCGCCGAGGGTGACGGTTTCGACGGACGTGGCACGGATGCGGACCGGGCTGGCTCGGCTTCGACCGGCTTAGCGCCATTTGCAGATGGCTCAATCACACCATTCGCCGCGGTAAGCTTGTTTGTAAATGAGGAGATCGCCCAGCCTGCCCAGGACTTGTCATTGGACGTTCCAATACGAGCATCGTCCTTGGGGGTGTCTGAACTGGTGGAAGGAGGCAGCACAGTTTCCGGCATAGTGCTGCTGAATTTACGTATCCGTTGAAGATAAACGTCGAGCGTCTTGTTCGCCTGATCCCGGATCATCCTATTTGCATGTTAGAAGCATAGAGAGAGCGGTGAAACAAAGAACTTCTTACTTTTCCTTGTCAAGGAGAGATGGGCATATGGCGGGAAGAACTTTGGTGGCGCAATCCTCCTCGGTAAAGAATTCCATCGTGGCAGCCAACGACAACAAGCCCGCATTCCGGGCATGTACAAACGGATCCCGCAGCGATCTTGTAAACGCAGCAACAAGAACCTTGGATCTGGACTATACTCGCGGTTAGCATTGGCTTGTTTCGGTGGCGTGGTGCAACCTACGCTTTGTCCTAAGTTTTTCGCGATCTTTCCTAAGCAAATAGTAGTGTTCGTACGAATCCCTGGCTGCTCGTCATTTGCAGTCCGAGCCAAGAATTTCAATAGGTCTCCATTAATAGTCCGATCACTCAATTTGTCAATGACCGCCAGTATGGCTTTGACGGTTTGTTCTCGAACAACGGGTGCAACGTCAGTGAACCCAGAAGTCTGGATGAAAGCAATTGTCAGTAACGGAAGACAACGAGGATCCAATAGTACGACGAACCATCTGCGGGAAGATCTTGTCGTTCACAATCTTTTGTGGAAGATTGTCGATCATTAATGGTAAATTGTCCAACAGACAAACCCGTAGTGCTCGATCAGGATTAGCAAACAGGCGCACAATGACAGGCGTCAGTCTTGAATTGAATTCCTCTGATGATAACTTGGACCCGATTTTGATAATGGCCCCTAGAACCTTGGGGCCGCCTCCACCGAATTCAACAGATTTCAGTAGCTCTGGGAGCACCTTCATTTTGAAGAATTCTTCGGGGAAGTCCTCAGTAAGTCCATCAAGCTCACTAAGACAATCAGTACTTGAAGCTTTACAATACACTTGTCGGCACAGGGAACATGAGGGAAAACCTACTTAATGAATGCTTCCCGCTCGGCATCATTCTTGAGGCCTAGACTCTCTATATCGTCCGTCAACCTGATCAACGGTGTCTGGAAGAAGCCGCCATGCTTCTTTCCTTGTTCCACAAAGTGTCCCGGACTCAGTCGCAGCTTGGGATTCGCCGTGCAGAGACGTTTGTAGCTTGCTTGCATAGTTGGTGGGATATTCGTTGTTTTGCCCACCTGATCTCCACCCATGAAACCACCATTGAAGACCTCATAGATTAGGATTCCAAGTCCATAGGCATCGACAGCAGTTAGTGGGTGGCGCTTAATGGTATCCCATCCGCCTTTGACAACCTCTGGAGGTGTATACCGAGCTGCATCTGGTACAAGACTGGCATATGTCTGTTGGTTGTTAGTCCACACCCCCTGTCGATCGACTCTGTTAAGGGGAGACTAACGTATATGACTGCATGTTCATCATTCATGGAACTTAACACATCGAAACCCCCTAGCTTCCACTCGCCACTTTCGCTAGCGAATACCGACGAGGCTCTCACAACTCCGTGAACAGACGAAGCATCTTCATTTATAAACTTAAGCGTGGACTGTAGATATGTCTAGTTAGCAATGTCCAAGCCCGGTCACACATTCAGCTACATACCGCTACCGTATGTAATCCCCATTTAGAGGTCTCCTCACTCAAACTCCTCCGCTTCACATGCCACGACAGGGGGACGACTCGCTCGGTGATGATATAAAGACTGGCTTCTGTCTATAGAGCGTAAGTCAGTTGCGCGATCACGGCTGCGCGACCTAATACATCACGCAGCATCTAAAGCCGCCAAACGATTAAGTACCTCGATAGTATCCAAAACTTTAATCACACCAGGATGTCGTAACGTTCGTGACTTCCGCACCGCGTTCTTCGCCAGGGGTAGACGAGACTTATTAGAAGCAATATCGAATGTGAAAACACTGCATGCCGAGCCGTCATCCTATGCATCCAACCCAGATGGCGCCTCATTAGCCCCGCGATCACATCCAATGAACCGACAAAAGTCTCCTAGCTTTCATACCCGTTTCGTAGCATTATGAAGCGTCCATATCGAATCAGAAATATCGACTCTGTCACCGAGAGAATAAGGGAAGGAGCTTCCTTTCGCGATTGCAGAAGCGACGGCGGATTTGAGGAAATCCATAGTTGTTCGTTTCTCGGCCGGGGAGGACTCTGACTTTTGACGACAATAACACGGCGGAAGTTGCGATTATGTCGGAAACTGCTCGATTGCTTCTGAATTGGCTTCACCGCCGACGAAGTCCTGATAAATGCCACTTGGCCCCAATCCAACAGCCTGCGCTGCTCACAAGGTGATTGTCGGTGGCATGGAATCTCGGAAACTAATAATAACTAAATGACGGCCTTAGGCTTGGCGTCGACCAACGGTACCCCACCCCCAATACGGTTTAGCGCCATCTCCAACTTTCGAATTTCATCCCAGCTGTTGCTCCATCTCCTTTTCTCCGATTCTATTTTACCATGCGCCTCAGATTACACCCGCTTAAATACCGCAGGAATGAATCGAAATAACAGAGTAACCATGCCATATACTAATATTCATCACTGACCAACCTACAGGAACTCTGGAAAAACTGATTCCACCGCACTACAAAACAAGTGAGTGAGCTCTCTACCTTCTCTCTATCCACAGCCTACCAAATCTCAAGTGATGATCCACTGGTAAAAGGTCAGACCGCGAAACCAAAAGACATGTCGAGCACCGGCCGAAGGGACTCCACATCCGCCGTCAAGATGTACCATTAGACGAAAACAAAATCCCTCTCAGGTCGTCAGCTAGCCGTACGTCATTCTCGGGAAGATCTTATCATTGCTCTCATCCTCTTTGTCTCCCATCGCTTGGAAGCAGACACATGCTTCGGTAAAAGGCAAATGGTCATAGTCGCAAGGCTCACGGCATTGCATACCCTGGAAAGACGTGTGTATAGCAAAGAGGATAATTCGCAAGCCGCAATTTGGGGTTTCTGGTCCGCTTTGTCTCTATGAGGAATTCAGAAACTAATGGCTGCGGCAAACAGGCGGGGGTGGGCGTTTGGGCTTTCGTGGGAGTAACTGCTGATGGGAGCGGAGGACAAGCGGTTGGGGATTGGATCGAGAATGAGGCATGGCTTTAGCTTCGATTTGGCGGTGCGGAACCTGTGATCGTATGATGGGCTCCTTGTTTCTGGGCTGGATGAGGCGAAAGTACCGCGGCTGCGACGCTGTCTCGGTTGGATGATGACCAAATATAAACTGAAAAGACCTGAAGAGATTTACCATCCGTGCCCGTGGTCACTACATTTGTTCCTGGGGGTCCGTTGCTAACCTGGATGCAACAGATTTTTTTGATTCGTTATTTGACGGCACCAACAACTCCACATATGGAAATACGGTTCTAGATGGAGTATGTCATCGCTTTCGTGGAGTATCATTTCCAACTATTCTTTAACATCACTGAGTATCATTCATCCATGCATAGCCTCTGCCTCTCGTGCCGTTTCAGCACTTTGCCTGCAACAAGTTAAACACAACAATAGAGCGTAGAGTGCCATGTTGGCACCCACTGGTGCTTAAGGTACAAGAAGCATACACAGTCACTGACTGGCACATTTCCCTGCACATCTTGAGCTTCCTGCACAAACCCTCGCCACGAGCAATGTAAGATAAGAAGAACAAGTAGAAAATGGAAACGAAAAAAAAAAAAAAAAGCAAGATAACTAAGACAAGCAAAAAGATTTCCCAAACATGGTTGGCATATACCGATTCCAGCGATGTTTCGCACGGGCATGGGGTGTCACATTGGCCGAGCTCATCTCGTGGATGTTCCGGAGATTATCCCCAGATGCGTATAGTATAGGTGGTGGCGAGGTAGACATTGTCGCAAGTCCATGAAGACCTGCAAACGTCGACAGGTAGATCGTCTCATTTTTCAGCATATACATCCTCAAGCCTATCATATACCTTACCCGCTGAAAGTAGCTGATACACGACACGTAATGGCCTTGGCCTATCAGCATGAGATTTACACAATCTAACGTATACCGAAGAGATACCGAGAATACTCACCAGTACAAATGACAGTACCTGCTCACCAGAGATATTGCACGCTCTGGATGCAAAAATGGTAGAGTGAGAGCAGAAATCCAAGATAGAGATCTTTCAGAAACATATTGAGGGCTTGGGTATTGCGAGATAGTGAAATTGTCAACGTCGAACGGATGCTATGCGCACGCTCAAGCGTAGCTGGTATGCCTATCCACGAGGTGCAATGGCTATATCCTTAGGTTGTTCAGCTAAGGAGGCAATAGCGTCTCGCCCACTATCCATGGTGCAGATTCATTTCACCTCATCTGCGGCGTCTGCTGGCTGAGGACCCGGCGCTGCAGCCGGCGGTGCTTGAGCAGGTACCTGGGGTGGCATTTGAGGCATCTGGTTATAGCCGCTACTTGGGGTACGATGCTGGTGAGGCGGATAGTGATGCACCTGATGCGGGCTAGACTGGAAGGGCGGCTGCTGTTGTGGATAGTTACCCCGAACGGGAGGCACTAAGAACGGTCAGTAATCGGAAAGTGGGTCGCTTCATTGGTTGTAACATACTGTGACCTGGCTGCTGAGCTGCATAGACGGGCTGTCCATGCTGCCCTGGTGACATGAACATGACAGGCTGTGGGGGCTGGCCCTGTTGAGAGTTTTGGTGCATCATCATCGGGGCACCGCGGCTGGGGCTTGGAAAACCGCTGTGCGGCTGAGGCGGCGCATGCTGCGGGTAGGCGTGACCCGGGTTCGGAGAATACATCTGCATCTGAGTCGTGTAAGGGGCCATGCCCTGAGGGACACCCATGTAAGGGCCGCTGGAAGGTTGCTGGACCATCATCGGGGCGCCCATGTTGGCCTGCGGGTTCATAAACTGAGGGGCACCTGGGTAGGGTCTCATATGACCAGGTTGGGGGCCGCCTTGGTTGACGTAGAATTGTGGCATGGGCTGTCCAAATGCTAGCTGTGCATGCGGGGCCATAGGAGAAGGATATCCATGTTGAAGTCTAGGAGACGGGAAGACCTGAGAAGTTGAGGCTGACATTTGCATCCGATGAGGGTCGTCAAAGTGGGGTGGACCGGATGCGTGGTGCTGGGGATGCAGATGAGGCCCATGTGGGGGTCCAGATACAGGAGGCATACCTGGTGTTGTCTGGGGGAATTGGAAGGGCATGTGGGGTTGATGAGGAGCCTGGGGATTAGATGCTGAGCGGTTCTGGGGAGAGATGGCCGGAACAGCAACAGGAGGCTTGAACATATGCTGATACGTCTTGTCTTGATTGCCAGTACCCGCATCCCAGGTGGGGAGTGTTTTATATGCGGGTGGAATTCCTCCGTTGAAAGTATAATCTTTCTCGGTCTGCTCCGCGCTCTCCTTCTTCATTCTTTTAATGGGGTTGAATTGGTCCTTGAGAGATGGGCGCTCGGTAACGGGCCGCGGCTTCTTAGCACCGAAGAATGCAGACGGGCTAGTGGCACGAGAAACAGAACGACCTCCAACAAAGGGTGACGAGCTGGACGACGCACCTGGGGTGAAAGTGCTTGCAGCTGGATTGGGCTTGAACTCTAGGGCTCTCACATTGAACTTTGTGGATGCAGAAGATGTTGGCGTTTGCGCTTTGCTTGGGCTGGTTACGCCGGACTGGTCACCAGCGGGTCCAGTTGGGGGTAAGCGAGCGTCTTGGATGGGCAAAGGCGCCGGAACAGCCCCCATCGCAGCACCTTTCCGCTGCTGAAGGTTGTCGGCCAGGCGATGTCCAAGCATCCCCGTGGTTTGACGAGCCGCGTTCATTGCCTGGTGCTGGGGTCGCGCACCAGGGCCTGCTTGCGGACCGGTAGGAGGATACACTTGGCGACCACGAGGGTGGGCCGAGCGATCGGATGGTGTCGCTGATGGTGCTGTTCCGCTGTCATGGCGAGCCGAAACAGGGGCACGCGGCGTTTGTTTTTGCTCAGAAAGCGTCGGAGAGGTCTTGGTTGATGTTTTCTCCTCAGCTTGCTGCTGGGCCCTCTGGATAATTTCTTCCTGCTTATGGGGGTCCTTGGCGAGGATAGGTACCAGATCCTTGGGGACTGGCGTAGCCAGCTTAAAGTTCTTCGAGAATCTCATCAGCTCATTGAGTTTAATCGTGCGATCATAGGACGCCTGGTTACGGCGGCGTTCCTGCATTTTCTGTTTCTCGCTGTTGGCGAACTGACGGAAGTGATCTAGCACTTCCGCTTCCACGTTGGCCGTAGCATTCTCCGTACCAGTCCGTTTCGGTACAGCGCTGGTAGCTGATGGAGGCTTCGCCGGGGCAGACTTGTCCGCGTCAGGAGCGGCGCTGGCAGCTGTATTCGAAGGTGCTGGTTGCGATGCAGTACTATCTTTAGGTGGTGGTGGTGCCGTAGAAGGCGTTGTATCCTTGGGTGCCTGTTTCACAGTGCTAGTGGAGGAACTTGGGGTTGCAGCAGCTTGAGCGGCAGCTTGTCGACGAGCTGGCGGCGTGTACTTATTTGGCTGTCCAGACACAAGGGGTGGGAAGTTTCTCTCGTCACGTCGGACACCACTGTATTTGTCTTCCTCGTCACCACCATCTCCTGCCACTGTTAACCCTCGTTCTTCCCTCATATGCGCATTGTCAACGTCGGTGTTCTCGATTTCACGTGCAATACGAGCGGCTTCTGCTTCCTTCTGCTTGTAAGTCGGGTCGGAGCGGTCGATCCGCGTAGTGTAGATATTCTCGTCATAGCTACTAGTGGCTCCAAACAACCGTGCATTGGCCTCGAACTGATCCCAGCTGGCGGAAGTGTTCGTAGTTTCTAGGGACAAATCCACCTCAGTCTCTGCCGATGGCTCCCAGCGCTTCAAGGTTCGCTCGCGCATCGCCAGGTTACCAGAAATGTCGACATCGGTTCGGAAGCCAGTAGAGGCACCTAAAGAGCGTTAGCGGCGAAGAAACATTATGAGGTGCAGAAAGTTAATATGGACAAGCTTTACCATTCGCTCCTTTCGCTGTAACATCGGATGTGGAGACGTTGGGGACGGATATTTCCACCACATCCTTCACATCAAACGACATACTGTGATCTGGTGCAGATCCTAGAAATGGACTTGTAGCATCGCTTACGCCATTCGCCCGGTTTTGCTCTTGCTTCGTTGGGCGCTGTACCATCTTCAGGACAAAGGATGATTCGCTAGGCTCAAGGGAGGATGAAGAGAATATTCCGGTGTACTTCTCGCCGTTTTTCGTAGTAATGGTAGCAGTCAATCCCTAAGAAGTATAAGTGCACCGTCCTGTATGGGGTCCAGAGTAGACAATCTTACAATAAAGCTGGTAACCAAGAAAACAAGACGGTCATGGGCATGATTATCAGGTGTGTTCGACTCTTTCGATGTTGGCTTAGGGGCAACATTCTGTTTCTGAGCCGTATTTCCGTTCTGTTGCGAATACGATGACCTCTGAGTGATCGGGTTCGTGCCTTGGGTCCAGGCCTTCTGGGAATTGCTGCGCCTGTATGGGATGGAGAAGAATCGTTAGTGAATGCATTGCAAGGAGAGAGCTGCAGAACCGGGTCACTAAATCCAAATGCTTTGGTCCCCGTGCCGTGACCGACAAGCATGGCCATCGGCAACACAAAATTAAACAGACAAGACAAAAAGAATAGAACGTTGAAGCGAGCCACTCGTCAAGTAGTAAGTGTGCGAGTTGGAAAAATACCAGGGTGGGTAGGAAGACGCTCGACGGCGCCCTCGCAAGGTGATAAGCGGTGAAAAAGAGCAACAGAAACCAAAAGCCAGATGGGTTGGATTGAACACGAAGTAATTGGGCGATGCAAATAGACAGCACAACATACCTCTGACCTCCATCAAGCGGACTGCCTGCCTGACGGCGACCTCCATCCGCCTTGGAGTTAGCGCTGGACCTTAATGAGGGCCTAGAACCCGAGTTCTGTGACGACGCATTGACGGCATTGCCGGATGCATTATTGGCAGCCGGCAGGGAGTTGACAGAAGCCATTTGGCACGGTGGTCAAAGTCGAATGAAGCTCACGCCGTAGAACTTCGCACGACGTAAAGCCGTAGAGAGATAGACGGGAAGTAGGCACGAAGCCACAGCACACACAAACACACACCGCCTGCGTGACCAGAGAACGACCTTGTCGGGGGAAAGAAAGAAGCGGGGGGAAATGTCTGAGGAGATGGATAGAAGATTGTAAGAAAAGAAATGGGGTCACGGGACCACAATAAGACAGGGAGAAAAGAGGTAAATAAAGAAGCTTGGAAGAAAGTTGTGAAATGAGGGGGAGAAGGAGAAAATGAGATGGGGTGGAATCTCGAACCACAGACTGGTGATTGAGAATAAAAAAAAAAAAGATAAATAAATAAAAGAACAATAGAAACAAAGCACGTCGGCCAGAGTCGAAAAGGAACAGAGGCGACGGCGATGGAGGGGAGGGAGGACAAGAGGAGGAGGAGAAGTCGTCACGGTTTAGTGTCCGTGGAGGTGTCCAGACGTTTAGTAGGAACCGTAAAGTGTTAAGGTAGGAGATGAGGTGAGGTTTCTTAGGCGGAGGGAAAAGAGTCGCTTCCCATGGTTCCATTGGGCGGTTTGGCAGCCAAAGTGGGGACCTCCTCGATTTGATGGGAAATGTTAAGGTAATTAACGTTATTTTATCAATACACACCCTGTATGTCTAGGTATATTCCCATTCCTCTTGAGATTTCATAATTACAATGAGAATAACGCACAGGATACTGTTTAGGTATTTTTAATTTGAATTTTTTTTTTTCCCTTGTTATTGAGAATATGTCTCCATTCTCGTGTCCCTCTTCGGTATTCATTATCATTGTCTGAATTCTTTTCTCCTTGACTTCATCAAATTAGGAATGAGACCGGCCGACTGACTGAATGGACCTCTGGAATTGCTACTGTGTACTGCAATGTCAGTATGGTGTGTGTTCCACTTTCGCCTACTCAAACGCACTTCAACAATAGTGTCTGCCCAATCTGAATGGAGTACTCCTGCCTGGTGGTCTGTCAGAATCCACTTCTTCCGGCCCACTCTGATAACACCATGAATTAGTCCTCCATGGTACTGTCTCCAACAAACCCTTGTACTTCCCCGGGAGCTCTGTACATAATTTATTCCCTTTTCCTTTCCCTTTTTCTTACCCCATCGGCTCATTTAGTAAGAGTTCACAAATTCAGTTCATTCGCTATGCTGAATTGGTGGTATGTTGTCTAAGCGTAGGTTTGAGTACGTTGTTACCTGACACATACAGGTCTGAGCATTCCAGGATGTTCGTAGCCAGAGCTGTAACACACCTAGGCATAACCTCCGATGCTCGATGACCGAAAATAAAGGCTCCAAATCTTTATTTACATAACTGGGGGCTGCTTCCGGCAGACAAGGCTGATTACATTGCACGATACCTTATGGTGGAGTAACTACACCACTTATAGTAGTACGTACTATGTACAAAAGGTTTGAAGGATTTCTATAATTATTGCATGGCCTTGCGTATGCTTACGCTTTAGAAGTCTGTCTGGTGCTACTACTACACAATAGTTATATTCAGTGTCAGACTGCACCTGACCTCTCCTTCTGCTGAATTGGTTACTTGGCCATTGTTTTGCAGTAACTTACGAGTAAAGATATGACTAACCTTAACCTTACACAATCCGACAGCCTCATAGCGATCTCGTTGTGATCTATAAGGTTGCCGCTGTCCATTGATTGGGTTTATCTCCACTTATCAGCGCTACGAATCAATCCCAGTTTTATTGACTAAAACGTTGACAATATATTAACACATAGAGTTTAATATTCATCTGGCAGGATCAAGACTGGTTCAGCCTTAACTAGTATCATTTCCCACAGTGAATATCTCCATAAGAAAAACAAATTCCCCAGTGCATAGAGGAATATACCTACTTTACTACATTCCCTCCTCGATGGGTTGTCTCGGATCTTCACAAAAATAGCAATCGGCCAGAGCGGGTCCACTTCTTGGCACCAGTTTTCCAGAGTGGGACAACGATAGGGTTCAACCAGGAAGAACAGCAGGTATAGCGACACATAAAATATTAAAGGGAAGATAGAATATTGCCTGTCCATGCTGACATCGAGTTCTCAGTCAGAATGGTAATCCAGTCACTATCTGTCAGTGAATGTCCTACCGAGGCACGGAGTACAATCTTTTATACCTCGAGGTGCGAAGGAGATAGCTGAAAAAGGGAAAGCGGGAGGCTGGTAGTGGAACAGCTGACAAGGGGTGCCTTAGGCATGGGCCCAAAATGACTTGGACCAACTGCAGCCCAAGGAGACTAAACCAGAAGACAGCCGATCAATCAATTCATTAATCGTCGAACCCCCAATCAACACCAAAAAGAGGCTGGGATACGTGTGTGTGGGTGTGTTTCTCAGCGAGGGGCCTTTTTCCTCCTCTTACATTCACTTTTGCCCAATTTTTCTTCTTCTTTTGTCTCTCCCCACTTGGGTTTTGGTTCTGTTTCGTCTCTCTCCCTTACACCACACACTCTCTCACTTTCCGAGACAAGTCTGTCAGCTTGGCCCCTTCCCTACTACGATCGGTTCCTTACTCCCTGCATCTGCTGTGTCCCTCTCCCGTTTACCCGCCATCCAATTTAGTCTCATAAAAAGGAAAACCTTCCGACTTTTCACATAAACGCACGCGCGCCTACACGTTCACATATGCAGTCTGCCTCTAGCGTTTCGTCTCGCTCCCAGCGCAGTCCGTCAGCCCAGCATTTTTCCTCGGGCTCCGGAAGCAGTATTGAATCCGCCATGACTTCACAGTCCTCCGCGCCACGCAGTTCGTCCAGCTCTGGGCGATCACAATCAAGAAGTTCAGTGGTAAGTTGTGCATTCAATAGTTCACGCCGCAAACCTTCACCCTGGCTGGCTGTCACCCACGTTTGTACCCACAATTATCCCGGCTAATACATGTTTATTTGTTCGCCACAGCCTGACAAGCAGATCTCACAAATTGAAAAAAGCGTCACGCATCTCTTGGTAGCCACGAAGCAACTGTTAGAAACACTGACCCAATGGTCCCGGAAACAAGCCTCGGAGAACGAGGTATCCGATGTCTACGTGCGGCTGGGTTATGAGTTCAACCTTGCCTGTCGCGCATTCAATGCCATCGGGGTCGACACCTCGGACTTGGGCCCGGTGCCAGACCTTCTCCGGACAATTCTTGAAGACACCCTTAGCCAGGATGCTTCCCCGCAGAGCCTCGACCGCTATCTCCCGCGCATCCGTGACATCATCATCAACCTTCTTCACGGGCTCAAGAAGAAGCAGGCCCGCTTACGTTCGCGGCAACAGCGAGAGGAAAGTCGGTCATTACCTGGCCGGCATGCAAGCGCTGGGAGTGTGACGAGTGGACAGGCGGCTATGAACCAGGCGTACGAGGAAACAGTTTCGACCGTGTCATCACCGAAACGATCAGGTCGTCGTTATGGAAGTAATGGCTCTTTGGAAGACCCGTCTAGTACGTCACGGACCTCACCAGTGCCGGGTGACACGCGAGGGGGAAGCTTCTCAGAACGAGAAGCATCACGACGAGAGACACAGAATATTCTATCTCAGTCCTCCCAACCTGAAAGCGATTCTACTCCCAAGGCACCTGCGTCATCCGTTAATCCGTCAGACTATCCCACCCCTCCACCACCGCCTCCAAAGCAAGATGACGCCATTGGTGCGCTGCAGAGAAGTGGTGAGCTTGAGAGACGCGCCTCACGACGATTCTCCGCGTATCAGATACAAAAGCACCTGGGGGCGTCTTCCAGCGGTGTCCCTGTTCTACCGACTCAGCACTCTCCTTTGCCAAATCGTGGTCGCGATGTTCGTGAATCGCTGAATGCTGTTCGTCTACGAGGTTCTTACGCTCACGGCCGACAGCGATCACAAACAAACCGATCGCAGGAAACCACTACTACCACCAAAACTGCACCGGTGCAGGTACCTCCGAATGTTCCGAGCATTGAAGAAGAACGTACTAAGTCACGGGGTGAGGCTTCGGCGTCTGTCTCTGCAAGAGATTCTCCTACCCCTCAAGACAAAGTCCAAAAACGACCAGACACAGAGACGATTGATCTACCTCGCCCTCAGGAGGAGCCCTCCCTTGCTGAGGCATTTCAGCCAGCCAAGGAGAGCATACCCGACGCTGTTACCTCTCCAAGAACACCTAAATCGGAACGTCGGCAGCCACAGTCCGTTTCCACCCCTCCCCAGAGCACTCAATTTACTGCCGAACAGCCATCTCCCGGGAAGGAGCTCACCCTGTTCCTACAGTATAAAAGCAAGATCAAGAAATATGTTCTGCCAGAAGGCTTCACTGGTCTGACAATTGGAAGGCTCCAGCTGGCTTTCATCGAGAAATTCGCCTGGAACACTCACAATAACGGGGCTGACTTGCCGGAGATCTATATCCAGGATCCCGTCTCGGGCGTCCGCCACGAGCTGGAGGATTTGAACGATGTGAAGGATCGATCAGTACTTGTCTTAAATGTCGATATTCTTGATGAGGTAAAGAAGCATTTTGACGATGAGTTCGGTGGTGTCCGCCGGTTGATTGAAGGCGTCAAGGATGCTTTGAATGGCCAAGAGAGTGTGATGCAGCGTGTGTCCGACCGCCAGCTTGAAGCGGCCAAGGAAATGGCTCGTCTAGCTGCGGCACCTCCGGTATCTGTTTCTAGTGCAAAATCGGGGGGACCTTCTAAAGGTTCAATTGCAGGCAGCGACAGCCAAGTTGCAGAACTCCAGAGCCTCAGGCGTGATATTGCCGTGCTGCGACAAACTTACTCCAATTTTCAGTCGGATATCGCAAGTTCGATGAACGCGATCCGCACCAAGGCCAGCGGTGTGAAATCTGCTGCCACGGAAGTATCTTTGCCTTCTTTCGAAGGTGATGCAGGACGTGCACGCGTCAATTCGGGAAAGAAGGAGCTTGGTGAAGAATCGGAACGCCTTGTCGCACGTGTTGATGACCTTCAGGATCTGGTGGAGGACCTGCGCAAAGATGTGGTGACTCGTGGAGTGCGGCCGCTGCCGCGCCAATTGGAAAGTGTCGGCAAGGATATCAGTGCTGTTACGAAGGAAATTAAAAAGATGCAGGAATTCCTCAAGCGGGAGAAACCCATCTGGACCAAGATTTGGGAGAAAGAGCTACAACTTGTATGCGAGGAACGTGACCAACTCACTATGCAAGAAGACCTTGCAGCCGACCTGCAGGATGATGTGGAAAAGGCTGCCCAGACATTCGCTCTTGTTGAACAGGCTACCAAAGAACAAGCAATGCAGAACAACCCCAGTAACGGGGTCACTCTACGAACCACATCTCGTAATGTGGTCATCGACCCTGCAGTGGATCCGATGAAGGCGAAAGACAGCGTCCTAGGCGAAGTTCGTGCGCTGCAACCGAATCACGAATCACGCCTTGAGGCGATTGAAAGAGCAGAGAAAGCGCGACAGAAAGAATTAGAGAATCGCCGGATTGGCCTCTTCCAGAAGGAACTAGGAGCATTTGTGGAAGAGGGTAAGCTGAAAAAGAGTGGTGGTGTGGAAGAGACCGAAAGGCTTCGTCGGGCCAAAGATGATCGCATCCGCAAGGAGGTGTGGGAGAGACAACAAGCTCGAGCAGCAGAGATGGAGAAAGCAGAGGCGGAAGCAGCAGCTGCACAAGCCGAACAAGCTTCTCAGGCAGACTCTAACCCAACAGATGATGCGGAAGCAAAGGTTGAGGATGGCGCATCAGATACTGGAGAAGAAAAGGAAGCCTCTTCCCCTAAGGGAAAGGAACCCATCTCTGAAGAAGTCGAGGAAACTGAGAATAAAAAGGAGGAGAGCGAGCCGGCAAAGAATGATGAAGATAAACTGACTGAGCCTGAGACTTCGTGAATCGAAGTACAGCTCGCGACTTCATGCGGGCACATTATCATTCTTTCCCTTTTATTGTTCATTTTACTACTGCATTCGTTGTTTGTCCCTCGCTATGTCAATTTCCTTTGAACCGTGGATCCTTTTGTGAATGGACCCCTTTCCTTCGTTTTCTTTTCCTTTTTCCTTTTTTCCTTTTTCATCTTTCTCTGTTATCCGGCATGGACCCGCGTCGCAAAGCATGTACTTTTTTGCTCGTGCGTGCGCTGGGTGTCCAGAAGTCACTACTATGCGTGGTGTACTATAGCCATTTACTTTATTCGAATTGCCGAGGATACCCTGCCACTATTGTGGCCTGTTTATGACCATTGTGATGATACATTGGGGGCGTCGAAGCATATATCATATCCCTTGTCTTTTATAACTGTGCCTGCGTTGACTTCGATGCGACCCATGTTTAGTTGATATATTTCAATGCGAGACTTGATTAGTAGGACCATTGTATTTATTATGAATGATACGGATCCCTGGTGGCTAGTATACAAATTATATACAGACGCCTTGTGGAACTACATCCTAGACCTATTGTGAAACCGATTTCTACGTGCCTAGATTAACATTATTTGTTCAAGACCAACCATTACAGGTGGTATATTATGAAATATGGCATGGCAATAGGGAAAGGATGTACCAGGAGTACTGCGGGTGATATAGCTTTCTGTAGGTTCTTTATATTCTACCTATTCTACATAGATTCGAAACTACTCTGTCGCGAGAATAGGTCATTAGAACATTCAAAGTGAACTTGATTGATAGTAGGCGATGTCTTCCAAGTTACATTTTCTCTCAGGAATTAAGCAGAAAGAGACAAAGATCCATTCATCCTCTTCATTGAATAAGCCACCCCCTATTACATCTGATAAAGATCCACAAACCATCATTCAACAGCCCATACAATAACCAAGCCCCGACAGAAACAGCCAAAGGGCACATCATTAGAAAAAGCCAAGAAAACAAAAGTACCAGTCCAAAGGATTCCAAAACTCACTACCACAATACAGCCACATCCGTACTGAACCTATCCAGGGCTTCCACCCTCTCCTGGACGATCTTTACCCCCTCCTCATCATGCCGATTATCCTCCATCAATTCTTTTACCGAAGCAACCGCCGACTCGAAGGGAGCAGCATCTCTCATCCTCTCCAGCAGATCCCGCAAAGCCCGAATCTCCTGCTCTAGCGACTCCAC